TAAAATTTGACATCACAAAATCTCATGGCAGTTTTACTCTCCCTGCAGTGGTGGTGGCTCATTTTAGGGGAGGGGTAGGAGGTGGGTCTGGGTTTTTTGCTGCCATAAGTGAGCTTTAAGAGAGATATTGAAGGTGGACTTCTGCCAACTTTATAGTTTAGGGAGTTGAACTTTTAAGTTCAAGGGCAGAATGGAAAAAATCTCACTAGCACCTACTGGAAAATGAAATTAGAGGTCACTCAGGGGATGGAGAAGGGAGCTGACATCTTGACAAGCTATGAGAACTCATACCTAAGAGGCTGATAGAGGGCTGGAAAAACAAGGGCATGGTTTGATGTGGTCAAGGAAGGAGCTAGAGAGAGTCAGCTGATACAATCAGAGGGTGAGGCAGGACAATACAGCAATAGGTTCAGAAATGGGATGGCAAGAGATTGGACAGCAGAAATTAATCCTTGAGCAATGGGAATATGTTCCCCCTCTCACAACTGGAGGAGGGAAAGAGTTTAAATGGAGAAGTAATTTGGGTGGATGGTTCTGGGGAGAAACCTTAACCAACAATGACATCTTTTATGAGCAAGATACCGCCTGAAAAATATAAAAAAATCCTGAGGAAACAAAATTGAAATGTCTCTTGCTGGACAAGAGCTGGGTCTGGAGCTCTAGAGAGGGTGCTCATTGCCTGAAATATCCTGAAAGCTGTAGCTGAGATTTAGAACTCTGACATCACCAACTGGCTGCTGAGCATGTTGGGCATTTAAGTCTGCTGAAATTACATTGTATATCTAAAGTGCAAACTGCAGTTTTTGAAAAAGAAGGCTTTGTGCTTTGGCTGCTACTAGCCTAGCAAAATAGCTCACAGTAGCTAAAACCTTCTAACAAATGTGTCTTTTAGCACCACTATAGTCAAATACTTTCATATAAGATGGATGTATTTGTTTTAGCAAAACTCACAAAGGCCTGAAACACATCACATAGCAATTACTGCAAGATCCTTCTGGTCTGAAAAATACAGCCTTTCCTCAGCCCTTCAAAAATCCAGTAATAATACTGCAGTACAAATCATTTGCCCTCCCTGCCACTTCGACTGCCTCACCTTTCCAGGTACATCCTCCTCCCAGTCCTTCTTCTTCAGCCTTTGCAGGCAAGATGTTTGTCTTCATTTTTTCAGGCATAGCAGGTGCCCACCGTGTTGTGAATCATCGGTCAGTATTTACTGCTGAAAAGTTTCCATCAGCTGTTAATTGCACTGTAATACAATGATTACTTTTGATTTTTCAGCAGACCTTGTTATCTTTTAGAATTATTGATTTATTTAAGATGACAGGTCTTCTGGAGGTCACCTACTTCAGCCTCCTACTCAAGAGTGGATATTGCAATAACCTTCCTGTGCAACCTGCTCCAGGCATTATCCACTATTACTTCAAAACCTTTTTTCTTATGTACAGTCTGAGTGTTCTTTCCTACAGTTTCTGGCTGCCTTCTCTTATCCTCTTATGGTGCTTCTCTGGGAAATATCAATCTCTCTTCCCTGTGACCCTGGGCTAGCCACTTGAGGACAGTGGCCAGAATCCTGCAGCCTTCTCCGGGCTCAACACACCCACCTCACTTTCCTGAATATGACGTGCTCATTTCTTCACCACCTTTTGACCTTCTCCCAGACTTGTTCCCATTTGCCAGTCTCTCTCACACCAGAAGCCCCAGGCTGGACACATTTCTCTGGGTGCAGCCGTGCAGAGGGGCTCTGCATATCCCTTAAGCTGCTGCCTGTGGCTCATTTAACACAGCCCCATATTCAGCCCGGTTCTGCTGCCTCCAGGACACACTGCAGACTCCAGCTTCCTCTGCCCACCCAGATCTGGGTGTCCCCTGCCCGCCCAGGTCCTTTCCTGCAGGGCTCCTGCTGGTGCCGGCCACTCAGCCATACTGCACAGCAGGCTCCTTCCCCAGCTCCTTTGGCATTTTCCATGTTCCCATCAAACCAGGTCTCCAGCTTGTCAAGGTCCTTCTGGAGGGCAGCCTTACCTTCCAGCACACCGCTGGAAAAGCAGGCTCCTGGTTTGGTACTCACATACATTTCTTCCCGAGGACTGCCCACCCCACTGCACAGGTACTCAGCAGGAGCTGGCTCTTGGCATCCAGCACAGAACTCTATCAATACGAATAAATATGAATATGACATGAAACCAAATATAAACATTTCTAAAGTAGTGTTAATTTAACAATAAAACATGGTAATATGGAAGAATTCTAGACACTCAAAAAAAATTAGTCTTACCTGAAATACTAGCCATTCCAATAAATACTTGAGGTTGTCTCAGCTGTCACTTGAAACAAAAGCATTAAGCAAAAGGTAGTTAAAAAGAATATAGAAGCCACAGTAAGGAAATTATTGTGACCACTGTGACCAGATGATGGCTCTGGAGATTTAATGTCCAACCAGGCATGAATAAATAGTGCAGTACCTCACTTGTTCAAGGTGACACATTCAAAAGATATACAGTAAGACTCACTGGGTTATTGCCAGATCCGTAAAGATAGTGGAACACTTCCTGCAGAGTTTAAAACCACCATGCTCTTTTTTTCCCCCCAGAAAAATGTGACAAAATCTTTTGCAAAACTTTCTCACCATAATATTCATCAATTTTATGATTGAGCTCAAGATCAGATTGTAAGGAAGTAAAACAAGGCAACTTATTTTTAATTAAAAAGTCTCTTTCTTAGAGGAACTGCCTTTTAGTTTATCAGTAGATGTGCCCAGTGTAACATTATCACGAGAGTCCAAGTGGTGATATTGACTGGGCAATATCCATGCTAACTCCTGTCTTCTCTTGCTATCTGACCAGAGCTGGAAGGAAAGATTTTACTACATTTTGACCTGCAGAAATGAGAGACATACACACTAGTGACCTGAGGAGTTATAGAAGATCCTATCACCATTATTTTTCTTTTTAGAAAAGCAGTCTATATAAATCTTCAATCTGTACAGACTAGTGGACCACATCTCTGATAACCCTTTGTAAAATCTTCTGTGACACAGAGACCATGATCCAGTCACATGTACCAGCAGAAAATTCCTGTTGATGTGTCTGTATCTGGTCTGGATCCTTCTTTTTCTGTTACAGAAAGATGGCAGTGCCAGGTGATAATCCCTGACCAACAGAGTGCCCTTATAACTTTTGTACTTCCAGCTCAGAGTACAGCCACCAGACCTAGAATAATAGGCATACTAGAGGATATGATCCCATCACTAACATTATTACCTTAGTGGTTTCCACATCTGATATTGTACTCAAAAAGATGACTGTACTGCACTGCTAACTGCACTGTATTTCAATACTTGCTATTTTTGCAATGAATGCATGAATTTCATAGCTAGACACATGTAATGATGTAACACTTCAGGAGAAAATATCCTAACATTACAAAAAAGCAGCGGATTGTGTTTGAGTATGATACAAAATTTCTTTCTCTTGTAAAGCTCATTTTTAAAAGGAGAGATTCCAGCAGGCATAATGAGAGGATTTACCATTTACCCTGTAATTATCATCTCAAATGCTTGGTCCTGCATGTTGTAGAAAAAACTTTGGTGGCAAGCAGAGTTTCAATACACAAAATGTATATTAACATAGAGTTTTTGAATAAGGATCTTCCTTGGTTCACGATCACATTTTTTAGCTCCTCATATTTCACAGATTAATTCCTTTCATTGCTGAATGACACAATGCATTCTTTCACCCTTTGTGACCCAAATATTTCTCCATTTTAAGATGCTCTTTGAAATAATCACCTGTGCAAGAAATCTGCACATGCTTAGCCAGTCCCCTCCTTTTCTGTATTTCATATAGGAACATTCTCAATTGCAGAAACACGTAATTGCTTTAAATTTCTCATCATCATCAGTAGAATATAAAAAGAAAAAATAGTGATTTAATATACAGACAACTCTGGGTTTCTGAGGAACCAGTTAAAATACAGAAAAAAATACAGAAATAAAGTACAGTTCTGTAAACCTAGCTCATGTTGGACAGCAACAGGCTCCTGATGGGATTAACTCCTCTGAAGGGAACTGAGCAATTAAATCTGACTCCCTGCAAAACCAGGCACAGACAGATGCACATGGCAGGGTGTCTACCTGTAACCCTGTGATTCTCGGAGTCCACAAGATTAATATAAAGGTAACTTCTCTCCTAGAGGATGCTAAAACCCTGGATTCCCTTACCTACCCCTTTGGCAAGTGATCCTCCAGCCAATTATCCTCTCTCAACACAGCTGACAGCTCCACAGAACAGTGGTAATTGGGCAGAATTACACTTGCAGAAAATGGTCTCTAATAATGTTGCTACTATGAGGTATATTTCGGTCTGTAAAATCTCTACTAGAAAGTTTCTGAAGTCTTTTTCCTTGGCCTTTGTCGATTTGTAATGGCCCTGTTGCCTTTGTATTAATCCTAACAGCCTTAGAGTTGAGTCTTTTTACTCTTGTACTCCTTAATTTCCACTTTTTGTTAACAAAGGCCAGTCTTTTAAAGAAGAGATTTCGTTTTTCAGCCATAAAAAAAGATAATTTCAAGCTTCCCCACACACCTCCTCTCAAAAGCTTGCTGATGAGTCAAGCAACTGAATACTTCAGAGCAAGTCCTGGCTCCCAAGTGACCTGCTTCCAGTCTCAAGTCTGCCCAGGCTGGTTTTAAAGTTAATCCTTAATCTCCATTAGCAATGGCATGACCATGGTGTAGCATTTTGGTGGTACAGTAAAACACCCACATAATCACATACCTGTCTCTGCTGCATCTTCCTCCAAAACTCCGATGTAGCCCCAGTAAAGGCTGCTACAGGCTACAGTGAGGAAAAGACATGAAAACACAAGGGAAACAAACACAGGTTCTGTAATTGTACTTTATTGCAACTCCAATGCTTTGTCTGCTCCTGGAAGACTCCTTTAGCTAAATTTGTTTCAGGCTTTTTTTTTCCTGTACCAATTAAAACACAATAAGCATGTATAATTTTCTTATTATTTTATTGAAAAGGTACATTTAAAAAAATACACAGACATCTTACTATTATGGATTGCTGATAGAGATGCTCTAAAAGTTAATTCTCTTTTTTTTTTTTTCATTTCTTCCACCTGTAGTCCTCATTATCACATAATGACTCCAGTCTGAGCACTGCATATTGATTCACCTTTATAAAAGGGTTGGGGAGGTAAGAAGATAGGTGGGACATTACTGCAATATATTCAGTAAACAGAGAATACGGTCAATTATAAATATTTTATGTTCTGTACATTATTGCATTAGGGAGCCACAATGTTATGCAGCATCATTACAAAGGAAACTAGTTAGAAATTAAGAAAACAGGATATTTACGTACAAACACATGGATCCATTGTCTTCTTGAACAACGCATGTGAGCTGTGGCAATGTGCAATTGAAAAGCTTTTTTTCTCTTTAAACATTGCTTAGTAACACCAGTGGAGAAACAACAAAAATAAGTTAAATGAAAGTAGCAAACAAGCAGTAATCTTAACTCTATGTTATATGGCTTTCTATTTTTGATTTCTCTAAATAAAGTATGACACAAAAGAAATAATTAAAAGCTTCAGCATTGCATTGCTTTCAAACATTTGCACAGAAACTAAAAATATTAAAATCAGACATAGTACATCTGTAGTACTACACAAGATACACCAGTACTGGGGTCTAGGACAGCACACAATCCCTGTCAACAAGAGCACACAAAAAGAATGGATGCAATTCTTTTTTGAGATGTTGTCTGCAGTCAAGCATTTGGTTCATCTACCTTTTCCTTTTTTCCACATTAGATTATAACCCGTTGCTTTTCAGAGAAGTATTTACATAAGTGTGAGTGAGGAAGACCCTAGTTTTCAAGTCTGTCAGGAAAATATTTAATGTTCCTTGATTCCAAGGTGCGTCATATAAATTGAAAAAAAATAAAAAAGAAAAAATGAATAGATGCATGAATCTTTAATGGTATAAATTTTATGAGCAATTTAATTCTCAATCAAATCACACTGTTTTGGTTAAAAAAATATAGACAGAGAGAAGACAGAGTTGTCTAGACTCCAGAATGCAGTGCTGTCAGTGATGGATTTTATGATGCGGTTGGATGAGGTGTCACGCTGGATGGCATTGCAAAAGAGAAACACTTTAAAATTTCAACCCATTTCCTGCTTCCCTTTACCCTTTGTACTGGCCATAGTTAACTCTTTTTCACATCAATAAATTAGTACGGTGCAAAGAGTATGGAGGCAGGCGTTGCCCGGATGGGCCCGTGGGCTGGCCTGAGCAGAGCTGGCGGAATTGCTGGTGCCTGGAACAGGGATGCCGAGGGCCGGGGAGGGAGGGACAGAGCTGATGATACAGCTGCAGCTGCAGCAAGAGGAGATGACAGGAAAGCAGGTGCCAGCGGCTTAATCATGTCCTTCTGGAATGCCAGTTTTGCCTGGAATAAAACACACACACAAAAGCAATGTAAATACAGTTCTCCCAACGCCCACTTTTACACGAGGGAAAAAGTGAACCCTGCCACTGGGAACACTGTGGCTTCTCACTGAAGCCTCTCACCAGCTGCTTAGAAATGTTACCTGCACTGTCCTCTTACTCCCAGGGCAATCAAAGCAACCAAATCCTATATTTAAAGATAAATCTCTTGAGCCTAGAGTCCAACACACTGATTTTTAGAAGGAATCATAACTTGCAAGTGAGTAACTTTATATAAATTATAACTGTGCATGAAATATTAAAAATAACCCCACGATTAAGACTTCAATATCAAAAGTCACATTTTCCACTTGCAAAAATGAATTGTATAAAAGTAGAGTGGACAAGATGGGAAGGTCATATTAGGCCAGTCAGCTTTGCACCTTCCAATGCAGACTTGCTCTGCTCAAAATAGAAATATTATTTAAGACTAATACCAAAAAGAATTTTTTCTGAAATATATATATGTCTTAGTTTATGATCTACAAGTGTTGCTGGTGCTTGTGGTGAAGCAGCTAATTAGAAATATATACACTCATATCTATATCTCTCACTGAAAATGGTTTGCACTGTAATCATTCAATCGTGGAAGCAAAAATGCTCATGTTTTTCCTTTATAGTTGGTGGTCTCTCCTTATGCAATGGATGATAAAATGATGTATTCTATAAGTGAAGAAGATTAGAACAGGCACAACCTATCAGATGGGGAGACTTAGAGGAAGCCTACAGCATTTTCATTTGCCTCTAAACAGTTACAAAGAAATATCAATATTTTAGCATTTACAGGCTTTTCACATGCTTTCTTTTGCCCATACATATTTGCATTTCTCTTTTCAACCTGTAAACTTGTTTTTGTGGCATAGGTGGCAAGAACTTTTCTCTAATGAACAGTGGCTGCGTCATGAGCAAATAAACACATAAACTGTGCTGTGCTAAAGCCAGCCTGAACTCCAGCTGCAGATGATCAGCAGGACCAGCTTGGGGGATTCCTGGGAATGCAGGTGGGTGTGACAGGGATTGGCTACTGGTTTGATATCCAGTGACAGACATGGCCTGAACATACAGGCAGTCTAAACACCTAAACACCTGATGGCTCTTTTGCACCAAATAATAGATCCACACAGCATTCTGTTTTGCTGTATGCAGAGAATGAGCACTAGTATTTTTACATCTTAGCATCCTATGTCCTTTTCCCTGACTGCATCCGTCATAACTCAGAGTTATCTCAGGTGTGCAAAAAGACAGAGTATACTCATTGCTGCCTTCAAAGAGAAGAGCCTTCACCCAGCAGAGCTGATACCTTTCCACGGGGCTCATGGTTCATTCCCCATTCCACTGATTATTCCCTTCTTTCTAGCAGTAAACAACACTTGCAGTGCTGTCTGCATGCCTTGGACTGGGCAGACAGAATACATAACTGTCTTCAAATCTGATTCCTGTGCAGACTCAGCCTGCAGGGGAAGAGAGGCTACAGAAGCATCAGGTCTGTCATGTTCCTGTCTCTGTGCAGTGGAGTCCCCAAGGTCACAAATTCACACAGACAGCGATGAGAAATAAAAATACTTACTGCTAAAATACTTGGGTTGCGCTGCAGTTTGTTGTAAGGACTATATTTAGGTTTCATAGGCTTTCCTGCAACTCTGTCCTTATGCCTTCGGCTGGAAATGTGCTGAAATAAATATCCTCACATTTAATTAGCTCTTTAAACATTTCTCAGTTTTGAGTTTGAAATTGATTTATCAGTACGATATGCCTAAGTCCCTGTTTGTAAGATAAAGTAGGTTCTTTAGAGAGAGCAAAGATGAGTTTTGCTAAATTAAACATAATAATTTGGAGGATATCAAATAGAGAATCAGAAACTAATCAAGTACAGCATATTTTGTGATTTAAGACAGGCTCTACAAATTATTGATATTTTGTTTAGTATTTCCTTTTTTCATTTGAGGAGCTTTAAACTAGGCAGAGATGTAATCACTAGGTCATAGGGACATTCAGAAGTAAGAGGTAAATTTTCATCTTGCTGATACTGTTCAGTTGTGTAAATAATTCAGTATTAGCTGAAGGAAGAACCAGTACCCAGGGATATGTCTACACATGCAATTTAATATTATGTTAGAGCTAACTAAAAAACAGGGAATGAGAGGACACATTCATGCAGCACAGCACCATCCAGTCAGAGATTCCCATTTGGGTATCAGAATCACTGCATTTGTATGGGCACAGCTCTGAACCCAGGGCTAATTGGCTCAGAGAACAGCTCCACAGGCACACAACAGCCACACTGTTAATGATAATGTTGTTCTACATAATTCAGACATATCTACAGTATTACCCTACTGGTGATTGTCCCAAACCAATAGATTTGAGTCATGTTTTTCTTCTCACATAGCATTAAACATTATTCAGCAGACTGAAAACAGCACCAAAAGATGAATTCAGGGAACCTCAACCCAGAATTTCTTATAGTCAGGAGAACAAGTTTCAAATATCTGTCTTGAACCACAGAAAACTTTTAAATGAGACCTTCAATGTCATTAATTGATATTGACACCTCTGCTTTTACAACTATCTAAGCCCATTTTTCCCAACTGAAATAATTAGGTGAACTTGACCTATGATGAAATATTTAGGAACAGCTGTGGGAAGAGAGATAAGAAATACTAAATTTATTCAGTATTCACCAACACATCTTCACACAGCCCTACACTGCACCTACAACATTGCAATGCAACTTCAACCAACAAAGAGCTCCAGATACATGCAAGTTACCTGCTTAAGCTGAATTTCTGAATTAACATGGACATCACAGATTTCACAATGGAACGTCTTGTTCTGCAGTCCTGAGCCTTTACTGCCATTCTGCATCTTCATTCGGGATCCAGGCCTAGGGTAAGACTTGATGGGACCAGCACCATTCCGAGCTTCCACCATGGTCTTGTGCTTGGAACCTAATGGGCAAAGAGATGCAGGTGAGTTCATGTTCAGCAGCACAAAACATTCCCTCAGCCTTGGGACTTTGTGACATTTATCTTCCAGACAGAATGGTTGCAGTCACCACAAACTAATGATCACTCAGTGTAGTTCCTACATCCTTGATCTAAGGGCAAGCCAGAAGGCTTTGTGCAAAAAGGGAACAGCAGGGATGCTGGACCTCACTGTTTGGGGCAGTGTGTGACTGAATGGCCAAGTGTTTGCTGCTTTTTCTTTTGCCAGATTACACAGAGCCAGTGAATAGCAGAAAAGGGTATTAGCCAACACTGGGACAGGAACCACAGCAATCCCTCAAAACCTGCCTAGGAACAGGAATACTTCAATAAATATCCTCTGATTTGGAAGAAACGGCTGCTTTTCCCATTTCAAGAATGGATTACAGCTGTAAAATCAGCTTCAATGGTTTGTTAACAAGCTTTACATCACCAGCACACCATACACAGATAGATCACATTAGGGATTGCTGCTTGTGGCCTAAAAAAAGACACATATCTAATCTTCAATAATCAGAAGATTCTAGGACATCTAGGAAACCTAATGAGTCCACCCTAAAATTATAAAAAAATGCCAAATATCAAATAACAAGAAAATTACTGTAAGTTTTAGCAGCAAAATAACAGATACCAATGATAATGAAACAAAATATGAAAGAGAGAGAGCACTGACATTTTAGAAACCTTAAGTGTTCTAGAAACCACTATGACCATACTGTGATCCTCAGTGTGAAGGTAGGGATTTTGTCAACTAAAAATTTAGAGAGTACATAAAGGACAGTTTAAAAAAAATTAGAGTGCTTTAATAGAATATCAAAAACCACACAGGAAACTGCTATTAACAGGACTGGTTTTTGAAACTTGGTATTGTAAGTTTTAACTAAAAGATGCTTCAGTGAAGTGTGGTTACCACCTTGTTACAATGAAGTTTAAAAATGTTAACACACAACTGACTTGTACCATATGGATACTCACCTGTATTGTGGGCTTCTAGTTGTGAAAGGGAATTCACAGCCACTTTGCATAATGAACAGTAAAGTAGTTTTTTGGCTTTTTCCTCTTCTGACTCAGTAACTGTGTTAGCAGCTCCATTTGTGCTCTTGGAGGATGAGGCAGGTGCTGCAGGTGCCACTCCAGGTTTGGGAAGAAAACCATCCACTTCTGTATTGGACTGCTGACTTGCACTGTTGGGTTTTTCTTTCCCTTTATCTTCTAAAGGAAATAAAATGCATGTGTTGTTGTTTTATGCCACACACACAAAAAGCATACAGTAATAGTCCTGCGGGTTTAGTAAACGTAACACAACAGGGGGCTAATTTATCTCATTTTATAAAAGAGAGCAGCATCCTTGAAATCTTGCTAAAAGTCCTGCCATGAAATGTGTGTAATTTTACAAAAGGGGTGATTTTCCTGTTTTTAAAGTTACAAGTCAATACCAACCAGTTCACCAAATTCATGCCAGCTGTTGTTGCTGTTGTGCTGCAGGCATGGCCATTTGCATGGGGCAGGAGCCCAGGAAATTCCAAAGGAAGCCAGGGTAAGGACTGGACAACACTCAGAAACAAGCAAGACTTTGCATTGGGGATTAAAAGATATTTCTCAAAAGCAATACATTTGTGTTTGGAAGGGCTCAAGTTTCTCAAAGTCACTGGGAGGACGCTGAGAGGCTCCAGCACTATCATGACACACATCCCTCATTTCAGTTCCAGGAGTTATGGTACTACATGTGAAGACAGTTGCTAACATTTTTAGGTTTTTCCATTAAAAATTCCCCATATATTTGTGGATCAGATGGCTTCTGTGTGCATTCAGTGCATTCCTTTATCACTTCACAAGCATGAGTCAATCATCTGTGCTCCTACAAGACAGGTAGGCAGGTATTACTTCATTTTGCAGATGGCAATCGCAGAGCAAGAGATAAAATGTCCCAGCTGGGCCTACAGAGGAACTTTGTGCCAAAGCCAGTATTCAAATGCTCCCTGCTTACATACTGCCCCTCAAGGGCTCCCTGCATTTGAAGCTGTTCAACTGCAGCCCTTGTGACCACAAGCTCTATTAACTGCCAGCAGTAAAATAAGCTCTATCCAAAACAAACACAGGATGGGAGGGGGACAGTGCAGTGGTGCTGGTATGAGCAAACCCGACAAAACAGACATGAGAAATGACTAAGTGTCACTCTGAACTACTGCAATCAAATTTCATCATCTAAGCAAGTACAACATCTACACGAGAGCAACCTCCCCATTTGAAACTCATGTCTTAGTTTGAAATAGGGTTGAACTGACTTGAAAAACTAGGCTCTATTTTGAGCATTTATTTTTTAACATGGACCCTTGCACTTTATGTTTACAGCTACCAGACTCTGTCTTAACATGCCTTTGTGTATCAGGCCAAGATTGTGCTACTAAGAACTCTGAAAACAGGATTGTACCCACTCAAACACTTGAAAGCCTGTATGAACTATGAATAGCCATTCTGAAACTAAACCCCACAGTTGTTGGCATATTTCCCAGAAGTGCATTGCAGTACATCAAGTTTAGATTGTTATAAACCAGGAGAAAGAAAATTCTAATAAAAGAACTATGTTTTTTAAAAATAACCATAAAAAGACTTTGAAATTTCACAATATAAACTGTATTAAACATTGAAAATAATGAAGTACAAAGACTACTATTATGACCAAATTTATGTTAAAACCAGATTCTGGAGGTATTTTGATTGACAAAGCGTGACAAAAGAAACTGATGTTAAATTGTACTTCATAACCTATTCAATTTTAAAGTCTCCATAGGAATAAGTCGAATCTGCAAAAATATAGAATGCTTTATACGACTTATGAGTCTTCATAAAATACAGTTTCAATAAATAGCACTTGCTAACATTCTAAATTAAAGAGTTTTCAATATGGAAAATTCTCAGAGGTGCTAACATCTACAAATGAAACACACTGAACAGCTGTCATTTGCGAATTTACATTACTGAAAAATGGAATTGTTGTTGTCGTTTTCTTGTATGCAATATTATGCCAAACTGCAAAAGGCATAACACCAGTATATATGTGAACCAGAGTGCAATAAAGGAAGGTTCCACAGTATTTTGCATTTCAGGCCTTAAAGGAAAAATACACCTACAGAACTGCAAGCTGTATGTTAACATATACCAATTACACTTATAGTTTGGCTTTGGGTTTTTTTATGTCATTCCCTATGTATTTTTTTTTATGCAAGCATAAAAATGTGGAGTTTTTGAAAAACCTCCTGGAGATAAAAATCATCACCCTTGTGCAACAAGAACAGTGCTTACCTTCCTGCCCACATCCCCTACCTGCACTGATCTCATTGACCAAGACAAGAGGGAGCAGACTTTATTTGTTTTGCTATCAAGTGTCAGTGGAGAAAGATCCCAAGATATGGAAGAAGATCCATTTTACATGGGCCACCAATTACCATCACAGTGATGGTTTTACAACACTGAATTTAACAGATGATTGAAAAAATTACAGATTTAATTTCCCACTTCTCACTTAGTTGTCCAACAGCTGATGTAGTATGTTGGTTTTTATAACACTCCCCAGATTTACAGTGTTTTCACTAATCATATTCCAACAATTCTAGAGTATAGAACATGTAACACACTAACAAGAAAACTTATACAAAACTAGAGAGAAGTTACCAGCATGCAGCTGGGCTCAATTCTGCCAGTATCACAGCTTTTGGAAAGAACCTCAGTTCACACAATAATTCCATCATTTGGAAAGCTTCCTGACACAAATAAGCTCTTCATCGATGGAGATGGATAAGGAGAGACATACGCCCCGCTATGAATTAATGTTTCCTTCCACCATTCTAAATGTTTAATGCAGAACATCTTCAAAGATCATAATTGTAAGGCTATTATACAGTTTAACTCCCACAGAAAGTACATGGAGCTAAGTGCGTATTTGTCACTGCAATGGGGCCAGAACTGCATTTTCCTGGCTTCTAAAATCAGAAAATTGCACTTTTCCAAATGGGCTTTTGATAACAGCTTATTGTTTCAATCCACAGAATTCAAAACACCATTACTTACAGTTTTATGTTTGAGACAGAAATGCCAACTATTCAACAGTGCAAAGCACAGGAAATGCAAATTGCATGTATATACAAAGTGCAAAGATGATTACTCTTTTATTTGTACTTATAGCACAGGGCTAACAAATAATATTTGCATGTAGCAATCAAAAAATGTAACTGTTAATGGCTGTGCTCATATCCATACTTCCAAACTATCATCACCTTATGAAATGCATGTGAATTGTAAGATGCAGCTGTAGGATTACAGTCCTCTTGCTATTTCTGAAGATATGACTGAGAATAGGCTCAGATTTCCAGGTGGAGCCCAAACAAGTGCAGGAGTGAGTCCATCCTGCCCAGACCATGGGCACACCAGCTTCTGCTGCACAGCTGGCAGAGCACAGCTGGAAGCATGGGACCAGGGCAGTACCAGCCTACTGCCTGAAGGCAGTAGCTGTGATTCAATCTGCATCAGGGTCAGGCTGAAATGCTCACACCAAAACTCATGTGCAAGAAGTTAATTTAGAATCTAATTTGTACTGTTTCCCTATGTTCCTTTTCCATACAGAAAAGCCATACTTCATGTATCTTAAATTCCTCTCTTAAATTCCAGAAAAGTAAATTGATGATTCAGATTCTTACTGAAGCCTGAATTTATTCTGAAGTAGAGCCCAGGGAAAATAACTAAAGCAAGATAATTAAGTATTGCTTTGGGCTCAGTAATATCAATGCTTTTCTCACCCATTACATTGTTTTAATTCTGCTTTGAAGTCGTTTTCACACATTTCTGCTCGTTGGAATCATGCATGTGTCAGCGCCATGTTAAAATTCAAGATTTATCTGATTAGGACTGCTTCATTTCAAGTACCAAAGTCAGGACACTGCAGAGCAACACCTCACAGGTTCAAACCTACAGGTTCTACTGCTTCACTTCTACAGCTGAAGTGGCTCACTGACCTTTGCAGGTCATGTCACTCTTACTTCAGCTGCTGTGGCATAGACAATAGATCCTATCCATTAATGGGTTTTTTGTTTGTGGTTTTTTGTTGGTTTTTTTTTTTTTTTTTTTTTTTGTTGGTTCTTTTGGTTTGTGGTTTTGTTTTTTTTTTTTTTGAGTCAGTGTGATGCTTTGGTACACATTAGAAAGAAAAACCTTTTAAAAAAAGGACTGCTTGGTGATCCTGAACATTTTCAACTGGTTTCTAACTATGTCAGTTCCTGTGGTAACTAAAATCAGAAGTGATTTCTGAAAGTAAACATTAATATTTTATTGTTGGGATATGAAAGTGCGGTGCCAGTATTGGCTTGTGATAGCCTTGAGTTCATGTAAGTTGTGCTACAGGGAGTTGCCATTAGTTTGAAGTGTTGATTTTGGAGACTAAGAGAGACTTTGAGGGAAAGCAAACATATCTCCCATACTGTAAAGCTTCACTGAGTGAAACAGATTACCAGGTTCTCCCTGCAATTTCAACAGCTCCATATATGCCTGTAAATATTGGGCTGCACATTAAACAACCTTTGAAGCATACAGTGATTACAGAATGGAAAAGGAAATCCATGAGATTGTCAGAGTATTAAATATTCTTTCCACAAACAACTGTGCAGAAAGGCAAAATCATTTGCATTAATTGCACTAGTAGACAATCCAAGAAATTTTGCTGAAAAGCTTATCAGTAAAGCTAAATTAGCATCCATAAACACAAAGCAAAAATTTGTCTGTTGAAAAATAAAATTCTCAGTTTAAATTTGACATGTAAAATACTTGGCACATGTGAAATAAATCTAAAAAGTGACGAAGTTAATTACATCTTTCCCAGACTTTACAAAATATGCCCACTGACAATGCTGAAGATAGGTGAGTTACTTGAATAGTTACTCAATAGTCACCAGCTGACCTCTCTATTCCAAGATTTCTGTGCACCGAGGTTGTTCCCCAGACCAAAGGATCAGCTTAAGAGCAGAGACGACCACTGCAGACAGGTGTGAAACCACAGAGAGACACAAGAACCAGTCACTGACATAGGCACCACTGTGGCAGGCAAACTTCTCACAAGTGTTTTTCTGTTTTTCAATCCATCACAGCAAAAGAGAAGTTTTTAAAGGTGAGAATAAAAGAAGGAAGTTTTGCAGCTGATTGTAGGGAACTCTTCACAAATTGGT